TATTATGAGAAATAATCTATACAACTAGTCACCGAAGCAAAGCGGAATGGACAACATTTATTTAACGCGAATAAGCAGAACAACTGCTATGGCAAGAGCGACAGACACAACAGTGCTTGCCCTGCATACGCCTGTAGATATTTGATAGGTCTAATAAATACCTAATCTAATAGGTCTAATTTAAAATCACGAAGAATCAACTGCATAGTATAAGAACACTAAGGTTTTGTATTTAGATGGGCGCCGCCATGAGATCTCGCACCACCTAAAAATTTTGCTATGGCCGCCACTGCCTACAGTAGTAGTCTTTAATCTATAGCGATTTCGTTTGCAATGTTAGCAACAATCGACATCGATATACTCGTTTTTGTTTGGTTATTTATTTTTATTACTTAATTATGTCTCAAAATATAAATAAAATAGAACTAGACTTATTATTATTCGAAATATCAAGTAAATTATTTTCACAGACGTACAGTAGTATATAAGCGGGTTGAATCCCATTTGTAATCCCAATTTTATATAATGACCAACGATCCGCCCTGGATTCGCACAACTGTTTTCTAGATCTCGACAACAGTGCTACTTACCCGATCTAATTTTGAGTGAGTATTCATCAAAATCGATATAGCCGTTCACAAGTGATGATTTGTCATACTTGAGACAATTGATTTTAATTTATGTAGATTTACCACTTATTTAGCGGAAAACCATCGACTATATGCTACAAAGCTTTATCCGTATGGATGAAAATATTTCGAAATCATGTAGTTTAGACAGGATCTTGATAATGCCGTGTAGGGGCGGCGTAAAATAAAATAAACCACTACATCCTACCAAATAATGTATATTATAACTTAGAAGCTCCTCTACACCAACCCGTAATTATCGTAAAAGACAACGTATAGAAATGAAACAGGTGATAGGCAACAGTATCTTCCTAATAACAACTCAAACTACTAAAAAATTGCGGTTGTCAAACCACTTGCTAAGAGAGTGAACTGTGCCAAATATTTAGGGAGCAGAGAGGAAAACATGTTATACGTTCATAATAGATTTATTAGTAGTTTTGATATAGCAACAAAAGAGAAGTCAGACCGCGGCCATGCTGCTGTTATTTTACTATCGTAGCAGTGCCCTCTGTGTACGTTCCGTGAAGCAACCCAGTGTCGATTTATTACAGTTATTGTTCCCCGTAAAACCCATTAATAATAATTCTAAGGACGATTTGGCGGAAATATACCGCCTGAATTTAAGTATATTTTATAATGACCTTTTCACTACATATTTAAAATTATACAACGATAATAAGTTCCGTATTATTCGACTACGTTTTTGTTGTAAGATGTCAGATGAAGATTCCACAAACTTTCATTGATTTAAGTAGGTTTATGAACCGGACTAAAAAAAATCCCTAATTTTACTAAGTCTAATGAGTTTTTCCTGGTCTATTCCTGGCTACGGTGGCGACCATGGTAACGGCGGGGCAGGGGGTGCTAAGAATCTCCGGTGGAGATTCGGTTGCCACCTACGACGACTCGACCTGGCAACATACAACGCACGCACCCTGAGGACTGAGGAGGAGATACTGGAGCTGAAAGAGGAGGTAGACAAGTTGCGCTGGCATATTATTGGATTATCCGAGGTCCGAAAAGAGGGGGAGGACACGGTAATCCTCGAGTCCGGCAACTTGTTCTATCACCAGGAAGGCGACCATCTGTCCCAAGGAGGTGTCAGATTTATCGTCCACAAGTCTCTCGTCAATAACGTTGAACAACACAAAGATTAGAATTGTGTCGACGACGGTCGCGTACCTGATACTCAGAATCACCAAACGGTATTCGCTGAAGGTCATGCAGGTTTACGCACCAACCTCGGCACATCCCGATGAGGAGGTGGAGGAAATGTATGAGGATATTTCCAGAGCCATGCATTCCTCCAAAACCCACTACACGGTGTTGATGGGACACTTCAACGCAAAACTAGGCACAAGAGAAAACGGTGAGCTGAAGTTAGGGAAATTTGGAGTGGGGCAACGGAACCGAAGGGGCCACCAGCTGGCCGACTTTATGGAGAAAGAGGGACTCTTTATGATGAACTCTTCCAGAAGCGGCCCCACAGGAAATGGACCTGGTCGAGCTCCGACGGTTCGACAAAAAATGAGATTGACTTCATTACGACGACCAGACGCCAACTGTTCAGTGATGTCTCAGTGATCGCAAGGGTGAAAACTGGCAGTGATCACCGAATGTTTAGAGGCACACTGAACCTAAACGTTAATTTGGAGAGGTCTCGTCTAATGAAGTCAACGCTCCATCACCCTCGTGCTCTTATCCAGAATCCCGAAACTTTTCAGCTCGAGTTACGTAACCGCTTTCAGTGCCTAGAAGATTGCAATGCAGTGGACGATATGAATGACAAGCTCGTGGAAACTGTCCATGCGGTCTGCAGGACCCGCCGCAGAAGAACACAAAAACTCTCCGATCACAATCTTAATCTCATGGCTGTTAGACGGGAGATGAGGCTGCAATCGTCAACAGATTTGACAGCATACAGGCAACTAAACAGAAGGATCTCCAAATGCATGCGGCGAGACTTACGCAACCTTAATACTGCTCGTATTAAGGAAGCGATCGAACGGAACCAGGGCTCCAAAGTCTTTGCCAGAGATCTGTCTGCCAGAAAGAGCCAACTGTCAAAGCTGAAGACTGAGTGTGGCAACATCGTTTCCGGGACACCTGAGATTCTGAGTGACATTGAGAGGTTCTATGGGCAGCTGTACACATCATCGTTGGAGCCACACGCAAGTGTGAGTAACGATCCAAGAGCAAGTCTTATCCGTCACTATTCCGATGATATTCCGGACGTCAGTCTGAGGAAGATTAGAATGGCTCTCCAGCACCTTAAAAACGGCAGGGCCCCAGGCGAAGATATAGCATAGATACAGCGGAGCTTCTGAAAGCGGGTGGAACACCGGTACTTGAAGTCCTTCAGAAGCTCTTCAATTCCGTCCTCCATGGTGGCACTACTCCGGAGGCGTGGAGCAGAAGTGCGTTGGTCTTGTTCTTTAAGAAAGGCGGCAACGCTCTCTTGAAGAACTACAGACCGATTTCCCTTCTGAGCCGCGTCTACGTGCTGTTTTCGAGTCATTACGAATCGTCTCGCACGCAGACTCGACGACTTCCAGCCTCCCGAACAAGCCGGTTTCCGAAAAGGCTTCAGTACCATAGACCACATACATACCTTGCGGCAGATTGTACAGACGACCGAAGAGTGTACTTTAGTCTTTAACAGGAGTACAATCTGCCACTTTGCCTGGCGTATGTGAACTATGAGAAAGCCTTTGATTCCGTCGAAATTTGGGCGGTGCTACAGTCCTTTCAGCGGTGCCAAGTTGACTGACGGTATATCGAAGTGCTGAAGTGTTTGTACAGTAGGGCTACGATGGCTATCCGAATACAGAACCAGAGCTCGAAACCTATCCAACTGCAGAAAGGTGTAAGACAGGGTGACGTTATATCCCCGAAACTCTTCACCGCTGCGTTAGAAGACGTTTTCAAGCTACTGGACTGGAAAGGATACGGTATTAACATCAATGGCGAGCACATCACTCACCTTCGATTTGCCGACGATATAGTCCTTATGGCAGAATCGCTGGAGGACCTTAGCACTATGCTCAATGACCTCAATGGTGTCTCCCAACGGATAGGTCTTAAGATGAACATGGACAAAACAAAGATCATGTTCAATGTCCATGTCACACCTATGCCGGTAGTTGTTGGGAGCACTATACTCGAAGTTGTTGACGAGTACGTTTACCTGGGATAAATAGTCCGACTAGGAAGTCCAACTTCGACCGAGAGGTCAATCGACGGAATCAACTCGTCTGGGCAGCGTTCGGGAAATTACGACACATCTTCTCGTCAGGTATACCTCAATCTCTGAAAACTAAAGTGTATAACCAGTGCGTGTTGCCAGTGATGACATACGGATCTGAGACGTGGTCCTTCACTGCTGGCCGTATGAGGACGCTCAAAGTCGCTCAGCGAGCTATGGAGAGGGCTATGCTCGGAGTTTCTCTGCGGTGCGTGAGTGACCGACATAGCCCAACGGATTAGTAAGCTGAAGTGGCAATGGGCCGGCCATATAGCTCGAAGAACCGATAACCGATGGGGAAGAAATTTTCTCGAGTGGCAGCCTCGTACCGGTAGGCGTAGTGTAGGGCGACCCCCCACTAGATGGGGTGACGACCTGGTAAGACATGCAGGAAGTCGATGGATGCAGGTGGCTCGGGACCGTGCTTTGTGGCATTACTTGGGAGGAGGCCTATCAGCAGTGGACTTGTGAAGGGCTGTAATGATGATGATGAATGAGTTTATCGACCACGTTTTTGTTTCGCTAATGGCCACTGACCTCTATATATATAAGTACGCTGTATATATAGAGGTCAGTGCTAGTGGCACATCAATAGAGATGTCTATGGAATGGAAAAAACGGCAACAACCTTTTAAAAGAAAGAAGGTGAGAATAATATAGCTATCTCATTTTGTACCATGTTAAATGTCATATGTATTAAGAGTTCAACTATTAGAATTTTATTCTTATTTTAGGACTCTGCTAGTAATTACTCTGAGGATGAGATATTGACACTACTGTCATCAAATTTCTATTTAAAAAAAACTAGGAAGTGTAATGTAATATCACTCTAAACAGATAAAACGAATTGTTCATAGTCATACTACGAGATATTTTAATGCATTTTTTATACTTTTTCTTTTTTCGTTATATGTTGATCATGGAGACAATGATTATTGTGAATATAATTAACATAAATAATAAGACCAATATTCAATTATTCTTTTTATTTTGTCATTTTAGGTTTCTGTATGATTTTTACTTAATTTTATCAGATATGAAGGTAGTAAACAAAAATTTCCTGGTAGTAGCAAATTTATGACAACAGAAATTAAAATATACTAAAATATTTTTCTACTTAGTATTTAATCTCTGTTATAATCGAATGTATAGTCAAAGTAAGATTGATCAAAACTCTGTACACGGACATAACCATCTTCACCACCAGACGCATAACTTTTGCCATCAGGATGGAATGCTAAACTGTTGATGGGACCAAAGTGCCCTTTGACACGGCCAAATTCCTCTTCAAACACTAAATGGAAGAAACGGGCGTCAAATTTACCCTGTCTCGTAGATGTTGTTGTTACTTCCATAGCATCCTGTCCACCACCTAAGACTACATGGTCAAGGATGGGGCTTAGAGCTGCCGAGTTCACTGGTCGCTCAGTTTTATATTCCTTGAGTAGTTCCAGGGAACTGGTGTCAAACAGTTTGGCCGTTTGGTCTTTCGAGGCGGTTATGAACATAGTACCGTCACGCGAAAGCTGCATGTCATTAATCTGATGATTGTGCTCTTTAACTGAGTGTATTTTTTTGCCAGTCTGTAAAATTAAAAACAAGTAAAAAATCAAAATACATAAAATACAAGTAAAACTCAAAAATACAGAGTGTTGAAAGGTCTTTTTAATGGTTTTTTTTATAGCTACAGCTAGTACAAATAAAAATATTGCTTTTATCAACTTTTGAATTCGTATGGGAAATTATTAAAAATGTTTTACGAGGGCGGGTCAATAAGTTTGCGAAATTAAGGGGTTGGAGAAGAGAGGGGATTTCCTTTTAACTATCACTATTTGGTGACTTAATACTGACTGACTATGAATACCAAATTTCAGTTAGATTGGTTGATTAACATTTGAGATATCACAGGATAAACAAGTCAATCGGGAAGTGAACACTAACTATGAAAAAAATAAGAAAAATAACTTCATGTAAAATTTCACCCCCTTTCCCTTTCATTCCGCAAACTGACTGGGAGGTCAAAACTCCCCTCATATACCTATGGACTACAAAAATGGTCAGGAAAATACAAACATTTAGAGGTGAACTTTTGAAGTAAGCGTCATTGACATCGTTATAGAGTGGCACATTAATGTATCCAATTTATAGAATGTGATTCGAGATCAAGCGACAAGTGCTGCATCACGCATTCGTGACATCGGCCACTATGGTAAGTATCCACCTTACGCAATCTACAGAGAAGGCCTATGTTCAACTATGAACTTTTGATAGGTTGTAATGAATGAATGATTGAAGAATGAAACATATAAATTATAAAAGTAGAGTATAGTCAATAAGTAGCTGTCTACTGATATTCAAACAAAGAAGATTACAGGTGTATTTTCACCTGAATTGGATGTGTGATTGAGTATAGTATTACACAGGGGACCGATCTACCCAAAATATCTTGGCAGAAAAATAAGATAGAAGGTCCTTAGTAACCTAGTGTGTAATACTGCAGCTATATTATCCTATTTAAGGTCTCTAAGGAACATACAACAATTTAAATCAGAGCAGGCAGTATGAACTAGTAATAAACACATTCCAAAATTTTGGATTTTATATTTATACATACCCTCAGATCCCATTGGATCAGGTCACCGGCTTCATGACCAGTGATAATAGTTTCATCTAATGTTCCCCAAACCATTGAAGTAACTTTGGAGTCTGTGATTTCCCACTTCAGTATGGGGGATTGGCTTGAGATGGAGTCATCAACAGTTCTTGTGTCAATTATAAATACCTGTATAGTAATAATTATCATAAGCATCTTTTTAATAAGGAATTTCTTAAAACCACATCCCAACCTAATGATCAGAGAATGCAGTGGATCCTAGGTTTGAATCTTAGCTCTAACCATTTTATGACAAAACACAAACTTCAACCATGGTTAACATTTGTCGAAAAACAAATAGTTGGTTTGGATTGTTTTAAGAATAAAGGGATGGAGTTCGACAAAGCATCCAGTTGTGAGATGGTGACAGCGGAAGCTTTGTGTGTTTGTATTTTGCAGTGCACATTCTGCAAATATAAAATTGGTATAAATCTAAACTAGCATAGTTTGACGTCTGTAATTTAAAGAAAATATTAAAATTGTTACCTCACAAGGATGACGCATCGCTTTGTCAGTTGTGTAGGCAGCTTGATATGCACTATAACTGAAGTTGCATGTTCTTACTGAAGAATTGGTTTTTATTGTTGCAATATTTTTACCAGTCTCCAAGTCCCACAACCTAAAAAACAGATTTAGACTTTAATGATCAAATGAATCACTATCAGTTAGTGTCGATCTGATACCTTTTAATAGTTTGCTATCTGAACCTTTACGAATATAATCATTGTCAGCCTGTAAAAGTATATTGCTGGACATAATATGCCTCTCCCAAAAAGGAAGGATTGTCAGGATCAGCACAATTTGTCAGTTTGCATAAGCAGTAGCTTAACAATCAGCAGATATAGTAGAATCTCGATAACTCCAATTTCAAGGAAAATGCTAATAATTTCGAGTTAATGAGTTTTCAATTTCAATATACATAACATGATTTATGAAGGTCTTCCTTATTCCTTAACATAGACAAACTTAAGGACGCAGATATGTTAGAAAGTTTATTGAAGGTATTCATTCATTGCATGTGTACAAAAATCACAATAGAACAGAAGCAATATGAGTTCAGGGAATTCTAAGACATCATTATATTTTACTAACTTCAACTAACAGAGCCTGCTTTTGGAAATTTGAATTATAGAGAATAAATATGTACTATCAATGTCTCACAGGGCAATAACATTAAGTTCAAGTTACAAAGTTTAAATAAATGCAGATACTGCATATTTTGCCAATCAAAAGAAGAGAATTGCGATTTTCTTTGTCTTACTACGTCTTAAAAAGGTTAATGTTCATGTTTTTGGAATTTTACTGTATCTTAGCTTAAATTTTTTTTTCGATGAATGGCTATTTTGCAATTTATAAGATTCTTGTAGCACTTTGCCTTAGTTTACTTTAACCTCTCAAATGCCAAGCGTCCCAATTTGACCACTTCGATGTTCCATCAAAATTCAAGAGGTCAAATTTGACCGCACCCACCCACAGCACTTTAAACCCATAAATACTTATGTTTAGAGACTACTTTTCTATGAAGAAGTTTGGCATTATAGAATTACTATGAAATTTTCTATCCTCTAGTGGAATAAAAAGTTAGGTAGTCTATGGATATTTATTTATAATCTAAGTTCATTTCATACGCCATTTTCGTGTGAATGTTATTGTGTTGATTTTTGGATTTTTCTAGTGTTATAGTATAATGTTTTATTATTCTACCAAAAATCCAAGATTTTACAAGCAGTACGTAGATGACACTTTCACAATTCTACCTTTACATAAAGTAACTGCATTCTTAGACCATCTTAACTCCATAAATTCTAAAATTCAGTTCACAACGGAGTTGAGGCAAACAATTCTTTAGCTTTTCTTGATGTGTTAGTAACTCGGAATCCTGATAACACCTTGAGCCATACCGTATATAGAAAAAAGAACCATACAGACAGATATTTAAACGGTGATTCTCATCACCATCCTTCACAGTTAGCTAGTGTAAGGATTTTGTTGAGAGCACAAGGGATCTGTGACAGTAAACACCTGGCTGCCGAGCTCCACCATGTCAAGCAAGTTTTGCATGACAAGCTTCGGGTCCCGCGCCTACGTCACAGTGAACGAGTGAAGCCGGCCACAGTCGAGCGTGTATCTGCTGTACCGCCATATGTTAGAGGAGTCACTGACAAGATTGGCTACATCTTGGCTTAATCTTGAAGCGCGCTTCCATCAAAACATACTTCAAGCCGACAAAGAAGATTGCTCAGTTTTTACCATCAGTCAAGTGTAACGTTCTTCTGCAAGATGCAGGAGTGTACAAGCTTGATTGTGAATGTGGTCTCTCCTACATAGGACAAACTAAAAGATCAATTAAAACCCGCGTTAAAGAACATATAGCTGATGTGGAGAATTGACGCTCCGGGAAGTCTGCAGTCTGTGAACACGTACAGGATCGCCCCTGTCACTACATCAGATTTGATAGACCACAAACCCTCTCTAAAGAACACCAATTCCTTCCAAAGATGATTCACGAGGCTATTGAAGTCAAAAAACATCCTAATTTCAATAGAGAAGATGGCTGGGTGCTAGCATCTGCTTGGGATCCTATAATAAATAAAATTAAATCCCAACCCAAGTATACAACTGAAAGACTTCAAGATACCTGATACTATAAGTTCATACTATGCAGATCTGAATAAAGGTTAACTTTTAATCTACGGTAACCGCGGTTAACTATGACTTCTGGACGTTGAACATCTCAGTCCCCCCCGTGACCATGGGTGCTGTAAAGCGCTCGAAACGTCGGGTATTCAAAAAGTTAAATATACACGATAAAATCCATAAAAACGAGTATTATTTAAATGAGTAGTGTTCATGTAAGTATAACAAATCATAATGCAAAATCACTTATCGATGCTTTGCTATTTAAATTTCTGCTGGTGGATATTACTTATTTATTTATATTTACCACGTGCTTGGCGGTGAAGGAAAACATCGTGAGGAAACCTGCATGTCAGAGAAATAAGGAAAAAAATATTTCGAAGACGTGAAGTTGGCCAACACACACTGGGGCAGCGCGGTGGAAAATTCCTTGCCCTAAAACCCTCTCAGAAATGAGCAGTGGGACGTATATAGGCTGTAACTTTACTTTAGTTTTTTTACTTTGGTAGATATTCACAAGTCTGTGAAAAAATTTTATTTTAAAGAAAAGTAGGTTTCTTCATAATGTTCTTTTTCACTGTTAAACATGTGTAAATTATCACTTAAAATTGTAATTAACAATATCAATGGTATTCATACGGATTAAACCTGCATTACTCACATACTGTTTTTACTACACTTCTTAAAAGAGAAAGTTAGTGTTTGCAGATTATGAGCCAATTATAATATTATATGCAGTACCTAAGGACAGAATATTATATTTTAGTCATGGCAATTTTCAAAAAGAATTAGTTCACAATTTACTGGTTACACATTTGCCTATTGTGGTTGCTACACAGTAAATTACTGATGACTCAGTAGTGATGGAAATTGCTTTTATTTATTATGGCTGTGGTATCATGGTTAGGTTACAATAATTTTGCGAAACTTGTCTGCTTTTAGCTATTATGTCTAAAATACCAACATCTCTTTTCTTATCAGCATCAGCTTATGGGTGTGTTATAGATTTTAGGAAAAAATTGATGAAAATTGTAATTATTTATTAACATGTTATAAAATCCAAAACACACCTGCAATATATTAATAATAATTTTTCACTTGTCTTAACCCCTTGTGTGGCGACCGGCCAGATTCGCGCCAATGGTTAATTACGCGCGTCTGGCAATTCTGGCCGATCCGCGACTGCGTATTTGGCGGGTAAAATAACCAGTGACTATGATTTCTATTACACTTTTACTTATAGAAAATTATAAAGCAAAGAAAGAGGATGCGATACAAAGCTACTAAAGTACTACAATTTTTAGAAATTTCGAATAAACAGCCCGTGCAGCAGCCGCATGCGAACGTCGCTTTTATGTGGTCACCCTTCCCAGATTTTGTCCTTATTTTTATTCGTAAATCGAACAAATAGTGAAGTTTGGTGCCTTTTAAACATGTAAGGGTTAATAACCAACAGTTTTTAATTCATAATTTAGGGATATGTATCCTTTTTATAAAAAAAAAATTCGAACATAAAAGGTCGTTATCTTACTACCTTACTTACCTTACATTTATCTCTATTGTTGATTAAAAATACATTACATACTTTTTAGAAATGAAACTTTGTCTAAATTAAGAACTTGAACCATTCTTAATGTTAAAATTATTGCACGCCACTTGACTTGCTCATTTCTCAAAATAAAACTAACAATATATGCTATTTTTTGTGCGATGCTTGGGTTGCCGCTCATGTGTTAAGATTGTAAAAAACTTTTTGGGAAATATTAAAAATATATAGGAATGTGTGAGTTTTTTTTGCTTTTTTATTATAAATTAGTGTATATTGATGAAAATTAATTACATTTATTTTATAAAAGAATGATTTTTTTGTTTAATTTTCACAAATTATACACAAAATACTATTAAAAATTTGGTTTTCCAACTTTGAAATTGGCTTAATAAAATCTATTAAGTTGTAATCAACTAAGATATCTATAGAGTAATAGCAAATAATATAACAATTCATATGATATAAGTTTTATACATAGCTTCCATACAATATTTTAGAGAAATTACTAAGTTAATCGCCACGCATCAATATCGCGAAATTACCTGCTAAGGCCCTAGCAGACGCGACATATTTGCAAAATGGCCAGCTGGCAGACGAGGGGTTAACTAAATATTACCATTGCCAGTTTATCACCAATTTTCTAAAATAATGTTTACTATTGATATACAACTCCACCAATTTAGTTTCAAGTCCTGGAACCACTAAAATTGTTCTTAAATTATAAAATGAGTAGCAATGTAACAGACATCTGCTTCTGCATCTGCAGAAGTTTTGCACGCTTTTTGATATCCGTTTCTGCTTCTGTTTCCACAACTTTTATAATGGAAATTCGATCGGAACTTTTATGACGGCATACCTTTCCACAAAGGTGCTGACCTCAAATTGAAAATGAAGTCCAACCAATGTCATTATCAATTTTGAATTCATCATTACAAATTTTAGAATCCATGTTGCACTTGTAATAAGAGTGACAATCTTTTTTATAGATGTAATCCACCTTCAAGTGTGTGGTGGAAATGAAATTCACACAAATATCGTAACATTTTGCCATTAGTTTGCCAATATTCAACAGTTACTCCAAGCAGCATCACCAGTGAGTGATTATTCAGCAAAGCTATTCTTATACATGAAGAACACCGAAACAGATTTTTCTAGGTCATTAAATATATCTTACTGCTACTTACTTTAAATCTTAATAAAAAATTATAATTGTCATAAAATGTACTTGTTACATAGTATTTACGAATTCGGCTTTAGTAATCTGCTGCACGATTTAAGTGATCATTTTAGCTTTAGTTGATAGGTAATGATGCTATTGATTACCATCTAGCTGCTTTTTATGCCGGAAATCCTTAGTTTTCGAGATATCGATAATTTTAGTTTTGAGGTTATGTCCATTTAAAAATGATACGAAACGAAATAACAACATAATTATTTGATCATTTTAGCTTTAGTTGACAGGCAATGACACTATTAATTATCATCTAGCTGTTTTTTTATGCCGGAAATCTTTAGTTTTCGAGATATCGACAATTATAGTTTTGAGGTTATATCCATTTAAAAATGATACAAATACGAAATAAGAATATATTTATTACAAAGAGATAGCAATAGAGCATGGTCTGTACTCTGTTTTAAAAAAAAATAAGCAACAAGGATATAATTATTAGAAAGAGATAACAATAGTATAGTTTGTATGATCTACTAATCTATTTATAGTGCTATTCTACTCTAACATACGATGTTAAACCACGTATTGTTTTTTAGTCACCATCCATTCCACTTTCGCCTTCGGACTTTGAATGTTTTGCGCTCATTTTTTGCTCCTAATTCTTGACCCTTGCTCGATTATCGGACCTCCGTTTACCGCCTGCTCTATTTTCGACCTCTGCTTGTTTCTTGGACCTGTGATTTGCCTTGACGAAGACCCGTGCTCGAATACCGGACCACCGATTTGCCCTACGAAGACCCCTGCACGTTTTCTTGGACTTTGCCTACCTGTCTGTCTCCTGAGAGACCCAAGATGGCCGACGACTCTACGCCGTCAACTAGTTCGGCCGGTCCGTCGAACGCAAGCGACGCCGCCGCAACGGATGTAGTACCCTTCGCGGAGCTTTATGGTGATTTTGTGCGCAGGCGTTTATATGTGGAAGAAGGAGCTAAATTTTTTAATTTACCCCGAATCGTGCGAGTACTCGGTACCAGAGTACAGTGTGTGGAGTTTGCCATTGAAAATGGCTTAATCCCTGCCACTAAGGAGTGCCGCACCCATAGAGTGCCAATGAAAGTGGTATATGGGCAAAATAAAAATGTGGGCTCCTTTGTTTGCAATAAAGGAAATTGCAGAGCCCGATCCAGGGTAGCTCGTGGCAAGGGCACCTGGTTTGAAAATATTAAAACGTCATTGCCACGGGTATTCTATCTGATGTATTGTTATGCGCATCGCTGGAGCTATGAAGATGCAATCCACGAAAACCCAGAAAAAGATATAGAAGGAGGCTGCTTATCTATGGCGACTGTCTGCGATTGGTACAATTACTGCCGGGAGACAGTCGTCATTTACCAAATAGAGCAACAAGAGGCCATCGGCAAGATTGGTGGCCCAGGAAAAGTAGTCCAAATAGACGAGTCAAATTTTGGAAAACGGAAATATAATAAAGGTAATTTGATTTTCTTATATTACAGACTGAAACAATATATTTATAATAATAATATAATGATAATTAAATTTATTTCAGACCTACATATAGTCCATAATATGTTAGTAAATTAGCTTAACCTATGTTAGTCTTAAATTATTACACATTATTTATTTTAAAGTTTACTTTTGAACCCAAATTATCTTTTAATACCTTTTATTAAATATATTTGAATACCTTTTAAAGCCAAAATATCTGGAAGAAATCAGTTTCAGAGTGATAAGACAGCCTGTTGTACATATTCTGCTATAAAATTTTGTACTTTTGTATTTGTTTTTTTTTTTTTGTAATTTTGTACTATTGGGTTTTGGTGTACACTGTACAATATAGAGTAAATAATTAATAAATATCTTGAATATTTACTAACTCTAAATTGTTTATTGTTGATTTTAGGAAGGCAGATTGAGGGCCACTGGATCCTCGGCCTCATTGAGGATGGAAGTGAGGATTTACGACTAGAGGTGTGCCCTGAAAACATCAGGTCAGCGGACATACTAGTGCCCCTAATTAAAAAACATGTGGTTGAGGGCACCACAATCCATACAGACTTCTGGAGGGCTTATGATTGTTTGGGGCAACATGGGTACATTCACAAGAAGGTGAACCATTCAGATCCTGAGAACCAATTGTTGCCCCTGATGGCACTCATACTCAAAGAATCGAATCGCAATGGCGGGTGGTTAAAAGATTTTTCAGTAAATACAATTATAACCACCCGGAAAACTTTTCAGACATTATTATAGAATATTTGTGGAGAAGGTCAGTGCAAAGAAAAAAAAAGGATCCTTTTATGGAACTAATTAAAGTAATTAACCATGTATATAAATAAATGTTTTTATAATATTATATTTGCTCATTTCTTTTGATCAAACCCTAGTACCAGAAGGTATAAATCACAAAACCGAATCTGTCAACCCCAACTTCCACGTGGTCTTTCCGCTCTTACCCCTAGAGTGTATATGAAAATCCGGAAGCGCGGAGGGAATGCAGCCCTCGCCCGCTGTAACTAAGCGCAGGCAGCGTACGAGCCGTAGCGGCTGAGGCGGCTGGTCGCCGAAGGCGACCAAACAGCCGAAGCTGCGCAGGTGAGCTAGGTGCCTGTGCTTAGTTACGCAAGGGCGAAAGGGCTGCACTTCCCGCAGCGCTGGAGCAGAAGCAGAGTCAAAATAGTGTTAATTCCCACCGTTATTCCCACCCTAAATGCTGCCACATTCCCACCGGGACCCGAATGTGAGTTTTTCGTCGCCGGACGCCCTTTTTTTATTAAACGAAAGCGAATTTTCCTTAAATGTAACAAAACTTTAAAAATTCATAAAAAAACAGGGGGGGGTTTCCGGCACTTTTTCCTTTCTGGGGGAGGTTCCTCCCCCTCCCCCCCCTCCCCCCACCAACTCGGCGACCATATATTCATGCAGCAGATTACTAAAGAAAACCCATTTACACTTCCGCTTCTGCATCCATTTCTATTTCTGCTAAAATTTACCTTTCGACTTCTGTTTCTGCTTCCGTTATGACACTTCCGTTGCATCAGTAAAAATGAGTATCATTTAAGTTGGATAAATAAAAAATATTATATTCTGTCAATTGATAAAATGTGTCAAAATTTAGATATAACAACATTTAGACATACCTGCAAGAACTGTCACCACCGCCAGTAATAAGATTGATGGTTTGCCAGTCTACATCAAGACACCATACAACACCACCATGACCATTGAAAGTACCCAAACGTTCACCATTTAAGGACCACCAGACATTGGGCTTAGCATCCTTTGCAGCAGAAAATAGTAAGTCACCTTCGCGGTTATACTTGATCTGTGTGATTGCACGTTCATGTCCTTGTAGCATAAGAGGTTTCTGAAAATTTAAGAATTAAGGTGTATACATATTCTTTGTTTCTTGGCTTTGCGTAATTTTTTGAAAAGTACTAGAACTGTTATATTCAATTACAACATGAAAAGTCTAAAGGTATGTGCGCTTACCATTTTTAAGTTATTTAAATGAATACTAAATAGAGAAAAATCACCAAAACCTAAAATGTGACATGTGGCGTTTGCGGTAATTTGACAGTAAAGAATAAGAAATAAAGAACGTCAATGTCAGTGAAAGATTTTTTTATTAAGATTTTTAGCTTAGATGTTTGTCTTTTAAGCCATGTCTTTACTTTATTTTACGATATAAATAGAATATTATGAAAAAGCCATGTTGGGTTTGGTTGTTAATTTCTTCAAACAATGTTTATTCATCGATATGGTCAACAGATAATGTTAAATTACACGAAATGCCACAATTTCATGTAATGATCGAATATTCATGATAAAATCAATTCTACGACGTATACAAAAATACCTTTAAATAAAGTATAAGTGTAATGAGAGTTTTTCAATAATCGCAGGCAAACCAATGTTAATCAGATCATTATTATATATTAGTAGTTAAACTAAAAACCAGCTGAATTTTCATAGCTTTCACTATTATCTTAAATCTCTTTAAATTATTACTATTAGAATGAAAGAATGAAAAACTTAAAATAAATCTTAGAAGTTTCAAACCATTTAATAAATGTAATTATTTAAATGTATTTAATTTATTAGTAAGTACCTGATAACGAAGTTCGAAGCGACAGTAGCCTAATGGCAGGGCGCGGACCGCGAACTCAAAAAGCTCGTAGGTTCGAATTCGCCATTCGATGGCGTGAACCACTCGTAACACAAGCAATTTAAGCTTAACACGAGTGGTTAAAGGGAATATTATAATTGTTTATAGCATTGTTAATATTATTTTTAAATAAAAAAAGAAAGAAAAAGAACTGAAGGCTAAATATACTATTTTTTACTTTTCATGACAGATGGCACTAGAAAGTTTAGTTCTTCAATTTGATACTAGATGTCGCTGTCGGTTAAAAAATTAGTCATGTCATTTTCTGGAAAGCTCTCTCCTCGCTCTGTTACCCGACACTAGATGGCGCTAGTGCCATGAGATGAGATGTCAACTTAGCCGCGCAACACTGCCCCCTCCTAAGACATGCTCGTCCCGAGCATTATCGGCCCCATAATAACGCGCCAGGCGATCCACATGGACGATCTTAGGAGTCCCTCTTGCGCCTTTCTGTATCCGGTAGGTTACATCGTTGATCTTGGTCACAATCCGGTACGGGCCGTCCCATTTAGCTTGAAGCTTAGGAGATTTCCCTTTGCTGCGGACTGGATTGTGCAACCACACAAGTGAACCTTCGTCAAACCCTTTGTTGTTCATTTTGCGGTCATACCGGGTTTTCATCTTTTCAGACATTTGCTGGCCCGATTGTCTGACGTGCTCATAAACGTCATTCATTTTGTTTCGCAAGTCATTTGCATAATCGGTTATACTGCGTGGAGCATCAGGTGGTATCCCGGTGATCAGGTCTGCAGGCAGCCGTAATTCTCTTCCAAAGTTTGCGAAAGCTGGTGTCACTGCTGTACTTTCGTGAACAGCGCTTCGATATGACAACAAAAACGGTTGTATGTGCTTGTCCCAATCTCGTTGCCGGTTGTCTACAACTTTTGCTAGGTACCTCTCCAATGTCTGATTAAATCGTTCTACCATTCCATCAGATTGCGGGTGATAAGAAGTCGTTCTTGTTTTATGAGTACCCATAACTCGGCAAGTTTCCTGGAATATTTGAGACTCAAAATCCTTGATCGCTGTGAATCTCTAAAGGTACTCCAAAACGACAGAAGACTTCATGAACTAGTTTATCAGCAACTGTTGAAGCTTCTTGATTTGGAATGGCGAAGACTTCTGGCCACTTAGTGAAGTAATCCATCAAAACCATGAAATACTTATTACCGCTTTCACTCTCCGTAAACGGCCCCGCCACGTCAATGGCTATTCTCTCCCATGGTGCACCAACATTGTACAACTTCAATGCACCTCTACTACGAGTCTGAGGTCCCTTTACAGCCGCACAACTTGTACATTTGTGACACCAGTCCTCGACATCACTTCGACAGTGGACCCAGTAAAACCGTTCTCGGATCTTCAGTAGAGTTCGTTTAACTCCCTGATGACCTCCTGAATAATCATTATGGTACAGCTGTAGAACATCCGGTACCTTAGCTTTAGGGACAACCATATGCAAATGACAGCTGTCTCCCCGAACATTTTCCCATTTACGGCACAGAACTCCATCCTGAAACAGCAAGCTGTCCCACTGGGCCCAATAGCTTTTAGTGGTCGAACTCATCGCTGAGACGTCGCTCCACTTGGGCTTGGGAGCACTGGCCTTCATCCATTTCAGAATTGGCTTGATGTCCGGGTCTTCCTGCTGTGCACGTTGTAAGCTCTCCTTCCACTCGTTGCTGAGGTGGTCTGCCCTGAGCATCCTCACGGATACCACTTCCTTACTCTCTTGCCTAGTACAATGTTTGCAATCTTCAGGACAAGGTCTTCTTGACAATGCATCTGCGTTGCCATGAGATTTCCCGCTGCGATGTTCGATCTCAAAGTCATATTCCTGCAGTAGTTCAATCCACCTCGCAACTTGTCCTTCTGGATTTTTAAACTGCAGTAGCCATTTTAGTGCAGCATGGTCAGTTCGTAAGTGAAATTTTCGTCCCAGAAGATATTTGCTAAAATGCTGCAATGACTTTACCACAGCTAGCAATTCGCGTCTTGTGACACAATAGTTCCTTTCCGGTTTTGACAACGACTTGCTGAAGTACGCTATCACGACATCTTGGTCACCATTCCGTTGAGACAACACACCGCCAAGTCCTATATCACTTGCGTCTGTGTCAACTATAAATTCTTTGCTTGGATCAGGGTATCCCAAAATAGGTGCTTTGCACAGATGGTCCTTGAGCTCCTGGAATGCGACATTGCAACTTTCATCCCAGCAGAAATGTCGCTTCTCCTCGGTTAGCTTGTGCAGAGGTTTGGCTATATCTGCAAAGTTCTTCACAAATCGCCGGTAATAGGAGTACAAACCCAAAAATGCTCTAACTTGCGTCTTGTCTTTTGGAACAGGCCAATCCTTGACAGCGGCGATTTTCTCTGGATCCGTGCGGATACCTTCTTCCGACACTACATACCCCAAAAAGTTGACTTGCCGTTTGAATAGTGAACATTTCTTCGGACTCAACTTGAGGTTGGCACTCTGAATCTTCATGAGCACGCGTTCCAGGTTTTGAAGGTGTTCCTCAAACGTCCGGCCTACGATGATGATGTCATCCAAGTAGACCAGACAGGCATCGCCAATTATGAACCTTTGATGAGGCAAACTGCCTTAGGGTTGACTTGGATAACTCTTTGTCTATACTATGCATAATATATCGCTCTCCCTCATTTCACAATTTAAACGGCTTTCTACAATCTTTGGACAGTACACTTCACAGCTTACAGGATAGGTCTTGTGTAATGGTGGCGGGTGACTTAAATATCAATCTATTAGCTAACGACACTGATTTACAGGTATCTGATTAGTTATGCCTAATGGCTTCCCACGGGTTGTTGTCGGCCATTTCAGAGCCTACTAGGGGAGATACGTCCTTGGACCACATTTTCATTACATCTAAACATGTTATTTCAGCAGCTGTATGCAAATGCTCCTTGACTGATCACTATATGCCTATGGTAGGTGTGAGCTTTGCTGAAAATAAACCTAAATCGAAAAACAGGTACAGAAATATTGTTGATATCGGTGCAATTAATTTGGACCTTTGCGGTATGAACTGGTCGACGATAATTGGTTATGAAGACGTCAACGAGGCCGCTTTTAATTTTGACCAGATTATACAATCAGCTGTAGGGAAACATACTAGTAAAGTAAAATTGAGTCGCAATAAATACAATATCAAACCCTGGATTACTCTCGGGCTGATGAAATGTATACGACACAGAGACCATTTGCACAGTCAGGTCCATGCAAATCCCAATGTCGTCCTGCTTAATCTGACCTATAAACGATATCGTAACTTTTGTAATGACCTGTTGCACCGACTCAAAGTTGAGCACGAGAATGGAGAGCTAAAACACCACAAGCGGAATCCTAAAAAGCTTTGGCAGGCAATAAAAACGTTTGCGAAGTCCCCCAAAAGAGTAAAGGTTCTGAGGAACTTTTGAAAAGTGATGTCAACATCAAGTCATCATTAAATTTCTGTAATAGTCATTTTGTATCCTCCGGTCGAAAATAGGCTGATCAAATCCTGTCTAAGCTTTCAACCTCAGAGGTGAAATTGATTGCTTCCGTTGGGACTCCCAATCATCTGCTTAGCTCTTTCTTCTTTAAATCAACTGATTCATTGGAAATCAAGAGGCTGATTGAGGGTTTACGTAGTGATAGTGCCAGGGTTGACGGATATCCCCCCCGAACGGGTTCCCGCCTTGTCGTGGCGGGGGGGCTTAGTAGCCGTGGCTTGGCCTCCCACGGTGAACAAAGAGGAACCCACGTGGCTGGCCCGAGGTGAAGGGCTGGCCTGAGGTGACCACTCCGAGTGGGCTTGGGGAGCCCACTTCGGATGTGTGCTGGTGGACTGCAGTGAGTGAGGACTCCGCACCCTCTACCGCTGCAGCCGAGGTGGAGTCGCGGAGGAAGAGGAGTGTTGGTATGGCGATGCGCCACTCGCCCTATCCTCCGCGACTCAAACGGGGCCGCACCGTTGATGCGGTGGTGATGGGGCTGCGGGGGGAGAGGATCGTCGGTATTGCGAGGCGCTGCTCTCCCTATCCTCCGCAGCCGAATCTTGGTTGGCGGCGGAGCCATAGACCAGATCCGCCGCTGGGGTCGGGAAGGCTAGTACTTCTAAGTGCTCGTTTTTCCTGGCCCCATGGCCTTCGCGCATCGGACGCGTGGGCGTCTGTTGCGCAGATGTAATTGGAGGCCGTGAAGGAAGGCGTGCCATGTGTTCTGGTGCGCCTTACTTGGGAAGGAGAACGGGGAGGAATATTCCTCTCCCGAGGAGGTGCTGCCATGGGGCGGCAGTCGCTGGTAGGGCCGCGGAAGTGT